GTTTCAGTTTTTGATCCTTTCCTTTTGAAGTTCTAATGCAAGAGGCCAGTTTTTCACATTACCTATTAAGATACATTTACTATAGGCTTCCTTAATGTTTTAATGATTCCTCTTAGTGCCCCCAGTTCCCTCCAAATTGAGGGTCTCTTTTGACTGTAGTGGTTTTTATGGTTGGTAGTTTTAATTCTTGCTCTCAGTCTAGTTTACCACTTCAACTATTAGAATATAATGTGGAAGAGAAGTCGGTAACTGTACTTTTTTTTGCCTTAGCTGTTGGTTTTAACTATTTGGTTCCACTAACCGGGACTTGCTTAGTGGGATAGTCTTGGGCAATTTACCACTTTCCACATTGTCTTATGAACTTTTTTTAAAGGTATGTGACCTACCTGACCTGCAAGATTTGGAGCAAAGGAGCTGTTTCTAATTCATTTTTGCATATCTGTGGTGTTTAATAAGTACTTCTCTATTAGATGGATTAGTTATTTATAGTCTTGTGTATATCTCTGGAAAGGAAGGGCACATTCAAATTTATGCTTATGTGAAAATGAACCCTTGGACTTGAGATCTTTTAGAGGACCTTATAGAATATCTAGAGGCATAAAGGAGGTGGGTTTTTTGTTTGTTTGTTTTTAGTATGAGGCACTACCCAGTGTAGTAATTAATGCTCAAGACTTTGGCTCTTACTTGGTGATCTTGAAAGAATGCCTTAGGATTTGATTGGATTTCGTAGGACCTAGACACCTGAATGGATTTCTGAGTCTGTTATCACTCTAAAGGCTAAGTGTTGGGTGAATTCACAACAGTTTCTGGTTTGGATGTCACATGCTAGGTATAAAGGTTAGATTCAAATTTAAAAAGTATTGAATTTCTCTTCTGAAGGTTATGTGTGATATTTACTACAGGGGGAAAAAAGATAAGACATGGTTCCTGCTCTCAAGACGTTTAGAGTCTTTTTGGTGTTTATCTAGTAACCAAAGTTGTGGTAGTATCTCCTGAAATTAAAAAGAAAAAGCCTCTCAGAAGGTTTCAGTTGACAGTTGAACTTTTTATATAGTGTATCCTGTTGGTAAGATGTTGTTTGCTTGCTATTTTTTCTTTGATAGTGTATTTTGAATTAAATTTATACATTTTAATTAATTGAATAAAATGTAATTATGTTGACATTAATGTACATATATACAAAGAGTGGGTATGCACACATACAAACATGCACAGTTAGACTACCCTGTCCTGTGCAGCTTGTCTACTGAGCATCCCCCACACCGAGCAGGAGCAGGTATATACTACTTGGCAAAAGTGAACAACAGAGACCATTAACTTGGAAAAAACTCAGTATGTGGCAAGAGATGAACTAAAACAAGGGCATTAAATCAAAATGTAAATACCAGTCAGTGTGACTGCAAGCATGCTTACTTCACCAGCTTCCAAAATGCTGGCACTTATTACACAAATACTGTCTTTTTTCATCCACCTTTTCCTCAACCCCATAGGATATTGGAAGGATTCCCAGAATACTGTGACGATTTCTCTCTGGAGGTAACTGACTAGCCCAAAGAAAATAAGGCCCCAGTGAAATGATCAGGGTGAATCATAATCACCTTATTCTATTACTAAGTAGTTGCCAGGTGCTATTTGTCTATGCAGTCCTTATAATTTGCTTTTTAGGATCTTAAATATAAATGGATAGCTGAGATTACTAGACACCGAGGAAAATCTGTCACATGAAAGGTTTTGAAACAAAGAGAAAAAAGAAAAAGGAAATAGAGACAAAGAGAAAAAGGAAATAGAGGGAACAGAGCAAAGCATCTCATACGTATACACACGAACAGACAGAAGACCTTATCCTTGGAAAGAGAATATACGATATTTATGGAACAAGAATATTTAGAAATTAAGAAGGAATTCTTGAGTTTTTTTTTTTTTATTAACACTTCCAGAAAGTTGGGGAGAAAAGACAAGTTGGTGGGTAATAGGACAATAGGAAAACTTACAGGATCAATCCAGGATGCCCAACTTTTATTTAATAGATGTTCTAGGAACTGAATACTATAGGAAGAACATAAAGGAATCATTTAAGCAAAATTTCCAGAACTAAGAAATACAAGTTTCTGGATTGAAAGCCTCATTGAGTACCCAGCACATGAATGAAAAAGGGCTCACACAAAGACACATACATCATGTGTATGTGCACATACCTAAATATACATACATCATCATCTTTAGAATATCGAGGATGAAAAGAGAATCCTACAAGCTCAAGCTGGGCGTAGGTAGAGGAGTGTGGAATGGGTCCTGTACTAAGTATCAAGAATCTGAATGGTCTCAGAATCTCTAGGAGCAACATCAGAAGCTAGAAGATGACATAGCAGTGTTCTCGAAACTTTAATATTAATTTTCTTCAGCCAAAATTGTATGTACAACAACAATTTTGCAAAGTTCCAGAGGTTTTTTTTTTTTTTTTTTTTTTAAAACACCTCTTTCTTCTCTCTTTTTCAAGAAGCTGCTGGAGGGTGTGTTCCAGCAAAGTAAGAAAATTCTTGGGAAGTTGGTGGACAGAGATACAGGATGACTGGAAAACAGTCTCCAAGAATAAAGAAAGAATACCTGATTTGTTTAATCATGTTGAAAGGAGTGTTATGGTAGTGTAAGAGACTTTATAGATTATTTGTGATAGGTCCATAGAAACCCAGTAAAACAAAAAGTGAGATAATTGATAATACCTTGATACATAAAGATGCCATAGCCATTAAAGTTGTAGTGTTTATACACTAGAGCAGGAATGCCATTCTTTTTTTTCTTTTTGAGAAGGAGTCTCACTCCGTCGCCCAGGCTGGAGTGCAGTGGTGCGGTCTTGGCTCACTGCAGCCTCCGCCTCCGTCTCTTGCCTCAGCCTCCTGAATAGCTGGGATTATAGGTGCACACCCATCATGCCGGACTAAGCGCCATTCATTTTCTGACCCCATCTCCACCCATGGGAAGTTGATGAGTTCTGTGTATTGAATTTGTAGAGCAGAGAATCGGGGAAAAGAGATCCCCTCATTGAAAACCTATATAATAAGAGAGGTGGGACCAAAAGAAGACTCAGAACTTCATTGAGAATGATGGGGATGTAGTAGTCAACTGAGAGAGACCAGAGTACCAAATCATTGTTGCTATCCAGTTATTCTAGATGAAAGATACTATTTTAAATTTCCCAGGGCATCATTGTAAGTGTCTGCTTTGAGATTAAATACTAGTTGAGAGTTGGGGCAAGACCCAGAAGGAATATGTAAACTATAATAAATATGTATTTTGTATACTGTAGGGTTACATAGAACAGTGTTGATTGAGAAAGGCTGACTGAGTGTCTGCTGGTTCAGTAGCAGCCTTTATATCTGTTGACGGGATGCAGGGTAGAGTGTGGCTGTAGAGGCAGAGCAGCTCTTCCAGCTGGTGACTTGCTGGCTTGTGACTTTGGGCATTATAAATGCATGTCTAATATCCCTGATAGTTTTACCCTAAACTTTCTTGTTTAGTGGTTAATTTTAGTGTCACAAATAAAGTTTGTGGTAATATTATTGGCTCTCTGTGTCTGGGAAATTTGATGGCTTGTCCATCCTCTAGAGCTGTTGCTATCCAGTAGCCACAAGCCACATTTGGCCATTTAAATGTAAATTAATTTCAGTGTAACAAAACGAAAAACTCAGTTTCTCATTCTTACTAGCTATATTTCAGGTGCTGATTAGCAACTTGTCACTCATGACTATGGAGCAGTGCGGAGACAGAACATTTTCATTATTCCAGAGAGTCCAGAGTCTAGCTTCTGCTTTACTGGCAGACAGCCTTGGGCTAGAAGTTGTCGTTAAGTGTCTGGTGTGTCATTTTGCTCTGTACTGTAGGGTTACATAGAACAGTCTGGATTGAGAAAGGTTGACCGAGTCTGGTGATTCAGTAGTACCCTTTATACCTGTTGATGGGATGCAGGGTAGAGTGTGGTTAAGAGTACGGACTGTAGAGGCAGAGCAGCTCTTTTAGCTGGGGACTTGCTGGCTTGTGACTCGGGCAAGTCACTTAGCTTTTCTGAAGCAGTTTTCTCATCTGTAAAGCAGGGATGAAATAATGACTTCCTTGGGTTGTTAGGGGAATTATATTAGGTAAAATAAATGGAATAAAAATATCAAATACTTAGCATGGTGCCAGGCACATAGTAAGCATTTGCTCAGTGGCAGTTTCTGAAATATTTATGGTCCTAGTTATTCTTGTTGATGTTAGTTCCTCTTTTCCTGATGTGTCCTTTTTTCCTTTTTTTAATTCTTTGTCTTCCTTTCTTTGCTGTATTTGTAATTCCCTTTACTTCTTTCTCTGAATGTATTTTTATTTGACTTAAGGGTCCTGGATAACCTTGTTTATGACATTTAAGAATAAAGAATTTTCTGTCCCTTAATTGCTATGATGCATTGAGCAGTGGGGAGTAACTGTTATCAAAATGAAACTAAACCCTATAACGATTCACAGAAACACAATACTGTTTTTTTTTTGGAGACGGAGTTTCGCTCTTGTTATCCAGGCTGGAGTGCAATGGTGGGATCTCGGCTCACCGCAACCTCCGCCTCCTGGGTTCAGGCAATTCTTCTGCCTCAGCCTCCTGAGTAGCTGGGATTATAGGCACGCACCACTGCCCAGCTAATTTTTTTATATTTTTAGTAGAGACGGGGTTTCACCATGTTGACCAGGATGGTCTCAATCTCTTGACCTCGTGATCCACCCACCTTGTCCTCCCAAAGTGCTGGGATTACAGACGTGAGCCACCGCGCCCAGCCAACACAATACTTTTGAACGATATTCATGAGGAAGCCCTTACTTATGGGTCTAAGGGGCAGTGTGGAAATAATCAGCCAGTAGATATGGAGCCCGTGAACCTCAGCTCATTAGTGTCCACCTGTGACTGACCAGCAATTTATAACACCATGAGAGGCATGGCAGGAAGATCCCTGGTAATTATACATTTTTACTTAACATAGCAACAAAGGCGAGAGCGTGAAGCTAGAAGGCAGCAGGAACGTGAACAGCGAAGGAGAGAACAAGAAGAAAAGAGGCGTCTAGAGGAATTGGAGAGAAGGCGCAAAGAAGAAGAGGAGAGGAGGCGGGCAGAAGAAGAGAAGAGGAGAGTTGAAAGAGAACAGGTTAGTTCACAGAGAACATTCCAGGCATAAATTTGTAAAGTTTGTTACTTTGCAGAGCTGGGGGATTTTCACAAAGTGCCCACATGTGATGCAAACACACATATACACATATACTTAGAATTTCAGATGTATAAACGTGGTGAAACACAATTGGAATGTCACCAATAAATTGAGTCTCTTGTCTTAAAAAGGGTTTGTAAATCATTGCACTTCAGAAACCTCTTGAAATAACTGTTTCCAAAAAGTATAATACCTGAAAGATGTCTGCATGTATCTTCTCAGGCTTGGATTAAATGCTGTGGACCCCAAATACATGGATGATAAATTAACTTTTTAAAAAAATGAAATTAAAAACCAACAGTAAGAAGTTTCTTATGAGAAATAATTTGAATATCCAGTGGCTAAGTGAATATTGTAATATATATCAGCATGTAATTCTGTATATACATGTGGAATATTAAAAAAATGAATGATAAGTTGTTCAACCAAAAAAGGCCAGGTTTTAATAATATTTGCAGCATTTTATTAATGCCAGGTATGATTTTTAGAAATTTTCTTTGTTTCCCGAATCACCTGTGCAAACAAAAATTGCCCTTAGCCTCTTTGCCTTTCTTGTCTTTGAATTGATCTCTCTTTTATGAGTTTGGAATAAGGAAAAAATGGTATGTGTGGACCAATTTAAATAATATTTGATGTCTATATTTTAAACTTACAAACCATCTGCCTTCTTTTATGCTAATCATGTGCTTTGGGCTTTCTGAGCCTTGGGTCTGCATGCTCCTCAGTGTTTTCCCAGGCATATCAGTGAGGCTCTTTATGTTACCTCATTGCCATTATCAACCATTTAACTATATAGTGCAAGTGTTTTAACATTGCACTTATGTTTATACCTGGGGGTTACAAAGAGGAAAACACTCAAGCTTTTAAGAATTAAATCACCTAGAAATAATGATTACAATTCCATCATGAGAGGCAGGTATGATGGTAGCAAGTAGTCTTTAATGCTCTAATGGCAGTCATTACATTTTATGAATAGCAAGCAAGTATTTGGCACCTCTTAAAAAATTCTAAAATCGGTTTTATTCTGTTTTTCCAATTCTGTCATCAAATAGTAATTCCTTGTGTTAACAGCGCTGTAGGACACATTTCATTTCAGCATAAGTGTGTATGTTTGTGTAGATGTGTGTTGTATTGTGTATGTTCATTGACTGTATTAAGGACCTTTGTGGTTTGGAGAGGACATGATTTTTCCAGTTGTCTCTGTGATTTGAGAGCAGAAAACAAGTGAGTGTACTGACTTGATCTTTCAAGTTATGATTCAATTCTGTTTTGCTCAAAAAGAAAATGAGTTGGAAGTCAGTTTCCTTTGCTCAGTCACAGTTGGGTTAAGGCTACACAGCCTTGCTAGGGCAGGTATTGTTGTAGCATGTACCATGGAGGGTCAGGCATAGATACATAAGACTTGGATCCCGGGGGTTCTGAGCCAGTCCACCCCTGCCCCCACATGCCCCCCCCATTGGCTTTTTGGCTCAATTTTCTTTGTAAAGAAAAGGATTTCTAAGGATTTTTATGTGCTGTAATTTCAGTATTCTCCCAGAGTTACTGGTTAACTAAAACTTCTGTTCAGCCCATATTGATGGCTATTTTTGTTTCAAGGTGTGCACCGTGGCACAAGGGGATGGTCAGCAGTCAACAGAATCTGAATTTCAGGATAAAATGTTTCCTCCATAGTCTTTAGTCCACTCCTCTTCTGGAGTTTTTTCTCCCTGTCCAAAAGAAAGGATGCCTCTTCTGCTTGTAAAATGTTCTATGCTTTTCAGGGTTTTGTCATATCAGTCTCATGTTTGAACCTCATAAAAATTCCTAAGAGTTGGGAGAGGAGATTTTGGATGCTCATTTCTCAAATGAGGATACTGAGAAAAAGGGAGCTTTAGAGCATGCTAGAGATCATAGAGCCAGTCCTCGATGGAACAGGGATTGAGGCCTCCTGGTATCCCTGTCTGCTATAATATGCATGCAGTTTCAAAATAGGGTTTTATTTCTCTCCATAACATATTTGGGATGTGTTTACCTGTTTTCATTTTTAGGAAAGTTAATCATTCTCTTCTCATTGAAAAGAAAAACCAACCCATCCCCACCTCCTCATCTCCCCTTGTCCTTGTCTGTCTCTGTCTCTCTCTGTCACACACACACAAGCCCAACATGGAGCCTGGGTCTGTTCATTTGAGGGCAGTTGCCCAAGTTTAGAATGTAGTCATTCCAGGTGCCTTTGGAATCATCAACAAAGGCTTCAGTCATGTTTGTCGTATTTTAATACTAAGCAGGTTTTGGTTTTAGGTTTCAAAATTGGTGATCCATACTTGTTATGAATAATGACTAATAAGCAGATGTTTACTAATCAAAATCTTTTGATTCTTTTTAATCAAACGCTTGATTTCTCTGGTGGGGTTTACCAACCTTCAGAGGAATGGCATTGTCTTTTAAAATTCTGCATTCATATACAACAACTGTGTTCTAATAGAAATACTTTTAGCTACCTTAACGTATATCATGGGAATGCCTGTCATCATTTGTTAGACTGCTTAGGTTGTACTAGCCAATTTGAAGTTCTTGGAGAAATTTTTAGCAATAGATTTTCTTTAGGTATTTACCACTAAGTAAATTGTCACTAAAGATAATTGGAGCAAATGGTTCTTGGTGCTCCCTCTAGGTGGTTCTGATGCTTTTCTTTGGGATAAATTGATTGCTGGGTGATTTTTGTGTGACAGGAGTATATCAGGCGACAGCTAGAAGAGGAGCAGCGGCACTTGGAAGTCCTGCAGCAGCAACTGCTCCAGGAGCAGGCCATGTTACTGGTAACGCCCCACCTCTGTCTCATTGTGTAGCATCAGGGCTCCTTCATCCCTCCCCTAAGTCAGGAAGCTGTAGTGGTCACTAGACTGTTTTGGTTTTGCTGTGGGCAGCCAGGCTCAAAAGAGATGCCCATTTTACAGTCATATTGCCAGCACATCGCAAGGTGGTCTTTACTTCCCTTTAATAAGTTAATTGTTCTCCTTTGGTAGAAACAAGGTTTTGAACAGAACTTGGCACTCAGTGAACACACTAGAATGCTGAGGACAGTAGGTTGAAAGCCCATGCCACAGGATTTTTACCTAGTATCTGTACCATTAAACCTGACATTTAATTGAATTCTCTCTTACTCTGTTCGTGATATTACGGTTAGCAACAGCTGTCAGATTTTTCCACAGGTAATGTGCTTTTTAAAATCCCAGCCATTTTGCTTTCTTACAAATGACAGGGGGAAAATGTATGGTCACTTTTTTTGAAAAAGCTGAGCAAATCCAGAGAAGAGGTGAGCTCTCCAGTGTCCCATAGATTTAGTGTTATCCTCTCCCTCTCCAAGGAGTGCCGATGGCGGGAGATGGAGGAGCACCGGCAGGCAGAGAGGCTCCAGAGGCAGTTGCAACAAGAACAAGCCTATCTCCTGTCTCTACAGCATGACCATAGGAGGCCGCACCCGCAGCACTCGCAGCAGCCGCCACCACCGCAGCAGGAAAGGAGCAAGCCAAGCTACCATGCTCCCGAGCCCAAAGCCCACTATGAGCCTGCCGACCGAGCACGAGAGGTATCCTCTTTCCTTTCATATAATGACTCTTCAGAACTGTGTCATATGAATTCTAGAATGGGCCATAGAGGTCAGCTAATTACCTACTTTCTTCGTTTTCTAACTAGGAAATTGAGTTTCAGAGGAGTAGAGGGCCTTGCCCAAGGTTTCATATCCAGTCAGTGCTTTTTCCATAAAGGACCAGAGTGCCTCAGTTAACATATCCCAAAAGAACTTGAAACGGAACTAAACAAAAAGAAGATGAAGTAGCATAGTTACTTTAAAAAATATGAATGAGAGAAATCGTGGTCTGATTAGCTATTCTCCCAAACTAGTATGAAGCTAAAGTGTGGCTGTGGCTCAGCTTCCTGACTTTGCAGATGTCAGGATGTACCGTTAGATTGGTACATTAGGGCTAGCCAGAGCCTCAGAGTAGGCTGCGGCAGGGACTGCTTCAGGGTGTGAGGTGTGGGTGACAGGTGTGCTTCGAGAGGTGTTGAGTCCTGGCCCATAGGTGATGGCAACCTTCTGTTGTGTCTGCCCTCACAGGCAGCAGATTCTAGAAACAACTATTCTGTTTGTTCTGGAGTGCTTTTATTTTTGGTGGAGTGAAATGCATTCTGGATTTCTAATGGTAGTTTTTTAATCTGTTTGGTTAGTTGCTTGTGACAGATTTTTTTCTACTTTATCATCATATACAGTCTTAGAATTCTGATAAAGGAGGAGAGCTTAGAGACTGTCTTGCTAATTTTTATCTTCATAATTATTTTCTTTTTCCTGAATGTAATTGTAGCACTGCTTTATCTACCTTCTTTTTTCCAGCTGCTCCTCACTTTTCTTGTAGCAGAAGAAAACAGAAAACTTCTCTTTAGATTTCTTCCACTTTCAGATTTTCTTTGATATTTCTGTTTTTCCCCTACTAACACTGAGTTATGTCTTCTAATTCTCTGATACAGGTGGAAGATAGATTTAGGAAAACTAACCACAGCTCCCCTGAAGCCCAATCTAAGCAGACAGGCAGAGTATTGGAGCCACCAGTGCCTTCCCGATCAGAGTCTTTTTCCAATGGCAACTCCGAGTCTGTGCATCCTGTCCTGCAGAGACCAGTGGAGCCACAGGTAGTGACAGCCAGCTTTGCTGTGGTTGACTCATGCAATGGCTCGCTGAGCCACAGGCTTGCTGTAACATCACAGTTTAGTTTGTCACCACATTGGAAAAAGAAGCGAGATTAGCAGGAGGGACTTTAGACTAAAAGAAGACATATGCTCAGTTGATAGGGAAAGATCTTTTTCTTTCCTTTTTTATTTTTTGAGATTTTGTGTACTCATTAAGAGTATCGAGTGATTTCTTCTAACCATTTGCCTTCCCTAACTCAGGTGTTAAGGGCCTCTTTTTTCTAATACAAAGATCTTTTAGTTTAGCGAGGGAGAGCCAGAAATTTTCTCTCAAGTATTTTAAAAATAAGTGCTTTACGGTGTGATCCCTTGCTCTTGGCCAGTTTATGAACGGGCCTTAGATGATACCCCTGAAATTCCACACAAAATGTCTTTATTCGTTCAAATGTGCATTTTTCCAGGGGTAGAGGCGGTGGGGGTGGGATGACCTTTTATCAGATTGCCAAAGGGTTCAAGATCCAAAAAAGTTTAGATCCAGTGGGTCAGGTGTAGATTTCTCTGAAATAGGCCAGGGAAAATGCTATGACCTCTCCTTGGGTCTGCTGCAGCGTTTTAGGTCTGCTTCAGCAACTATTGGGCTGATGCCTCGTGGCTGGAGCAGAACCCACTGTGCTGTCCATAGAGGAGAGCAGGCAACAAAGATTACCGCCAAAGATCTTACAGATCCTTAAAATGTCGATTCCTACAGTCTTGCTGAAAATTACTGACTTTTAGACATTTTCCTACTTACCACTCTGTAATCCAGAATATTAGGAACAAGTTCTTAAGCTTGAGTTTACGTTTAACTGGTGTTTACCTTTGTGGGGTACAAAAGTTTATATTCTTGTGACAGGAAACTGGGGGGTCTGCAGCATGGAGGAGTTTAAAAAAAAAAGAGCTGGGCATGGTGGTTCACACCTGTAATCCCAGCACTTTGGGATGCCAAGGCAGGCGGATCACCTAAGGTCAGGAGTTAGAGACCAGCCTGGCCAATATGTCAAAAGCTCATCTCTACTAAAAATAGAAAAATCAGCCGGGCATGGTGGTGGGTGCCTGTAATCTCAGCTACTCAGAAGTCTGAGTCAGGAGAATGGCTTGAACCCAGGAGGTGGAGGTTGCAGGTTGCAGTGAGCTGAGATGCACCACTGCATTCCAGCCGGGTGACAGAGCAAGACTCCATCTAAAAAAAATCTAGGACTGAGGCTGCCGGGTATATGAGGGTGAGTGGGTATTTTTATAGGACCAGCAGTTTCTTGAGTCCCAGGAGAGCTGGCCTGCTAGTAGATGAACAGCTTCAGAAAGGAAGAGATAGGAAAGAAAGAGGAAAGCAGGAGAGGATAAATGGACACAAAAAGGGACCTACTAGAATAGGTCTGAGAACTTGGTTCTTTAGCAACTTTGTACTGCTTGAAGATTATAGGATAAAAGTTTTCACACTGAAAGTTAAACTTGGGTGTAAATTGAGAATCTATTTGGCCACTAATAGTTTAGAAAATAGGAGTTTCTGAATTTAGCTATATTAATTTTTATATTTGTCATGAATTTGTTTATTGCCTAGAAAGAGTCTCCCATTTCCTCCTCCTGTTCATTATTTGGGGGAACTTTTCTCATGTAGGACTCTATTTTAAAACTCATTTTTGATTATAATTTCAGACAATACTTTTGAATTACATGCTTTACCTCTAAAAATCTTAGAAGTCTAGAATTATACCAGTATCTGGTATACAAATCTCACCTGTATATTGTAGAAATCATACTCCAGAACTAATTTCACATTTTGTATTTGGAAGGGTTGAACAAATTAATTTAGTATTTTCAGTTTTTGTTAGGTACATTGATGTAATAAATATGTAGCCATAATTATTTAAATTACCATACTGAACAGTTATTTTGGAACGATAGAACATAATTTGATGAAAATATTTTATTGATTTTTTTTCAGAGATAATTTCCCCAATTTAGAAGCAATCAGATAAACTCAGTTGACAAGTAATTGTCATAGTTTTGTAATTCTCTAAGTGGGAGGAATACCCCAGCAGTAGTCAATTCAGAGAATCCATGGTATTAAATATTTTTAAAGAAATCACAATTCTTTATTTTCATCACTAGTATGATATGGAGATATTTAGGCTATGGGTGTTTGTAGACTTGGGAAAAATAAGAAAAATTGTTGGTATATTTGAAAAATTAGCTATTCGTGAGATAATTATAGTCCATCAAAACGAGGGGTTTGTCTTTGCTTGTTGAACGTGCTGTTTTGTTAATTGGTCTGGTGTAAAATCTGCAGGTAATGTGAGGATGGCTAGGTAGGGTTGCACTTTTGGCAATGCTCTTTATCTTCTGATTTTTCTGCCTCTCTCTCTTTCCAGTCTCTGCTTTGATATGGATGTGCATGCAACACATCGTACCCCCTTTCAGTGAGCTCTTAGCCTCTTTGTAAAAAAAAAAAAAAATCTTCACATTAACTGCTATCTGTAATGTTTGTCTGGATATTAAAAAGAGTTTTCCTTGTAAATGTACATTTGTTCTTTTCTACATACTGTGTTCCTAGACCACTTCTTCACTTTGAAGTATAACTGTTTCACTGCGTGGCTGACCTACTAACACTGTACCACCCCGGTGTGTATTCTGCCTCTGCCAGTTCCTGCTTTGGATTTGGTATTGACCAGAAAAGCCAGTTTTATGCAGAATGCATTGAATGTTTTGTGTTTTGTTTTCTTGTAAGGTACAGTGGTCCCACCTGGCATCTCTCAAGAACAATGTTTCCCCTGTCTCGCGATCCCATTCCTTCAGTGACCCTTCTCCTCCCAAATTTGCACACCACCATCTTCGTTCTCAGGACCCATGTCCACCTTCCCGCAGTGAGGTGCTCAGTCAGAGCTCTGACTCTAAGTCAGAGGCGCCTGACCCTACCCAAAAGGCTTGGTCTAGATCAGACAGTGACGAGGTGCCTCCAAGGGTAAGGAGCAGAAAGACAGATGTGTGCTGCTTTTTTCCTTTTTGTTATTTTTTTTTAAAAGATTATTTATTTTAATTATGGGTATGGCAACTTCACCAAATTTAAAGGGACAATAAAATTTCAAAGGGACTTTTTAATGGTGAGGAGAAAGTTCCATAGTTAGGCAGTTTTATTTAGCCAGTAGCCAGTTAGCATTTTATTGTTGTTGTTAACTCTAAATAAGGTAGCAAAATGATGTAAAAGTAAGTCTACAAAGAGTTCTTAAACAAATACATAATTTATTTTAGCAGTTTTTCTATATATTTATACAGAAGCTATGCACTTTATAATATGTCAAAATTTTTAGAAAAGGTCTTATAAGAAAAAAAATTTGTTTTTAAATGGAGGGGGTTTTGTTTGTTTTTGTGTTTACTTAATGGTGAAATTAAACAAAAGAGCCCATATCAATTTATTTTTCCTCATTTGGAATTTGCTTCCTCTGAATATTTTCTTGCTTCCTGCCAGTCTTTGCTTCCTGCCGATCCATTTATAGACCATTGTTTGGTTTCTTTGAGCTTATTTTCCTGATTCTCACATTATCTCAGCAAATGCTTTGTATGTCCCTACTACCAACCTTCAGTCCAAACATCATTTAAATGTTACAGGAGCATAGAAAGACTGTTTGTACTGGCTTCTTGGATGCCTGTGACTAAATTTTCTCTCCAGTTGTTTCAGTATAGGATCAGGGAAGGAGTAGGGGTGGGGAGTGTAGGTGACAGGAAGCACTGCTTTTAAAATATATTTTGGTAGGGAAATATTTTTTCTCCTTCTCATGTTTTCAACAATTTAATTGCTGTATTTTTTACTTAAAAGGTTCCTGTGAGAACAACATCTCGCTCCCCTGTTCTGTCCCGTCGAGATTCCCCACTGCAGGGCAGTGGGCAGCAGAATAGCCAGGCAGGACAGAGAAACTCCACCAGGTAAAAGACAAGTGAACTCTGAGAACAGCACCCGGTGCAGTCTATCACAGCCTTACATTGTCTGTTTCATAAAAATCCTCTTAAACACAGAAGTTCTGGGGCAAAGAGATTATCAGTTATAAAAGGAAAAGCTGCCATAAACTCCATCAACGTAGATGGCATCAAATTGATGTGTAGTAAAAAGTGGGTTTGAATCCGGATGTGTATTATAGTAACTGAAATTTAAACTACTTTTCTCTGTAAGAGTAAGTGGAGGGAGCAGCAGGGAAGGGGGAGAGGTTTTAAGAGAACTGTGATCAGAGGGAGCTTTTCATCTAAGGGATATTGTAATGCCTGTGGCATAAAACTAAAATCACAGACAGGTTATGAAAGAAGTCACTGGTTGACTGACAGTCTGCAGTAAACAAGTGAATTAACCAAATAATATCCCTTTTAGGTTCTAGAGCTGCTCTGTCCAGTACGATTAGCTACAGAAGCCTCCTTAAATTTAAATTAAATTGAAATTTAAATTTAGGTAAAATGAAATACAATGGAAACTTTATTCCATGGGGTCCAAAGTGGCTCCCGCCGGAGGTCATGGCGCTTGCGAAGGCGAGGTCATCAGTTCAAGGCTAACCTGAGCAACCTCATAAAGCTCAAAAAAGAAGTCACTGGTTGACTGACAGTCTGCAGTAAACAAGTGAATTAACCAAATAATATCCCTTTTAGGTTCTAGAGCTGCTCTGTCCAGTACGATTAGCTACAGAAGCCTCCTTAAATTTAAATTAAATTGAAGTTTAAATTTAGGTAAAATGAAATACAATGGAAACTTTATTCCTTAGTGTGCTGCCTATATTCGTGAGCTCTATAGCCACATGTAGCTAGTGGTTATGATATTATCCAGCTCAAATATAGAACGTTTTCATCACCACAGAAAGCTTCATTGGCCAGCACTATCATAGGGAGGAAAAGATGATTATGTTGAATGTTTTATTTCTTGATCATCACTGAACCTCTAAAGTTTGCCTTTTGCATGTGGAACCTTGGTCTGACTTGAAGTGTCAGATGGATGATATCCCAGAAACTGCACAGAACTCTCAGCATTGCTAATGGAAGGGGAGCCATGGTGTTCTTCCATGACCAAGTCTGTGTTGTTAATTCTTAGCTAGCACATGTGTGCTTTGTGTGCATTCATGGCAGGAAATCCACCCCAGCCCACACTTTCTGTACCATTTCCAACAGCTCATACACAGGACTATTCTTTGTAAGTGTCAGTTTTTGAGAACAATGATGGGCAGGTGAGAGCAGCAGCCTAGAAACAGAATATAATTTTGTGTACAATTATACAAATGTGTGGAGTGTTTTCCTAATGTTAAGAACTGACTTGTAGCTGTGACAGAAATGGTTGCTACTTTTACACTGAACAGTAGCATTATATCTCACACCTGATGATTTTTAGATCTACTAATGGTAGGATATCATTTAGCATACAAACTAAAAACATGAGATAAAAATCCATGAATAATGTCATTATATCTTTTGGTGAATTTAATGTTGAGTGTTCTTTATAGACTGTTTTTCTCCTCCCTACATTTTAAAGACATTGGATGGGCACACCATGCATGTGTTTATAAGTTGGTACTGCATCCTGAGATGATGCATTAACTGTTCTCTCTTCTTTTCTAACAGCAGTATTGAGCCCAGGCTTCTGTGGGAGAGAGTGGAAAAGCTGGTGCCCAGACCTGGCAGTGGCAGCTCCTCAGGGTCCAGCAACTCAGGATCCCAGCCCGGGTCTCACCCTGGGTCTCAGAGTGGTTCTGGGGAACGCTTCAGAGTGAGATGTAGGCAGCTTTTCCTTTACCCATTCCCTGCTAATGTTTTTGGGCTATGATCCATCTATCGGAAGTTCTTCTTAATCTGTAAAAAAAAAAAAAAAAAACCTGTGGTTTGCATGTAGCTGCACATCACAAAACAAAGTTTTAGCATAGGTTGCTAGTGACACTAATAGTCATCCTGATTTTAATCATAAAGGAAGGAGCTAGAGCTTTATATATACCTAGCACTGTGAATGTTTTACAGTTTAATGGGATTAAATAACTTGTCCAAGGTAATTGGCTAATGTATGAGCTGGGATTTGAACCCATTTCTTTCGGTCTGGGCTCCAGAGCCTATACTGTCATCGGTATTGGTTATTTTAACATATTCATAATAGATTAGTGAATATTCCGTCTACTGTATTATTGACACACCATGACAAGGTATACATTGTGACATGCGTCAAAGTGAGTGTGATGATGGAAGGTTTAAGTAAAGAGCCAGCAAGGCTGCTGGAGCCCCCCCCCTCTGGCCTGTAGTTCAGACCTGCATGTGGAGAGCCTGCCATGAGCGGGTAGGTGGGCAGGGCAGCTTCATAATACACATCCATATGTTGATGTGTGTCCATCTCTCTTGTTCCTTTTGAACCCAACAGCGTCATCCAAGTCTGAAGGCTCTCCATCTCAGCGCCTGGAAAATGCAGTGAAAAAACCTGAAGATAAAAAGGAAGTTTTCAGACCCCTTAAGCCTGCTGTAAGGATTGTGCAAAATCAGTTTTACTTATTTCAGACTTAAATGAGATCTTTCTAATAAAAATATGTGGTTGAGAGGCCTGCATTCTTTTCTGCAAGGCCCTTTACAGATTTGAGGAATTATAAAGAATGACTTAAACCCCAGACATATTTGTTCCCTTCCATTGGTGTCATCTCCTTTCCAGCATTAAGTCTCAAGAGAGTGTTAAACGTTTTTTCTTTTGTTCTGGCCACACACACGGTGTACATTCAGTCTTACAGAATAGCACAGAGCAAAGCGTAGTTTTTACTTAATGACATTTCCTTCTAAGGAAACTGATACTTTTAAAAAAATACAAAAGAAAGAAAAGCCTTTTTATCTCTTTCTTGGCATTAACCTTGACTTATTCTTCATGAGTTTGGCATTTATAATACTGGCTTTTAGAGTAAGTTTTTAAAAATCACTTTCTTAAATTCACTCATTGCCTACATTCTGCTTTTTGGTACCTGGGGTGATAGTTGTGACTGCTTCTCACCCTTCACTTTTAATCCCTCTGATGTTAGCTGATTGCATAATTGTGCACACACTGTAGAATTTTAAGCCTGTCAGAGTTTTCATTTCCTGCTCGAACTGATTTCTTTACTTCTTCCTCTCCCCTTTTTTCTGCCATGCTTCCTCGTACTGTGCATTCCTCACCAACGATGGGTTCCCGGACTCCATGAAACTGCGCTGTACTGAAGGGCGAAGTGGTAAGTGCCATCTCTGGAAAGTTCCACTTCAGAGCAGCACTCCAGCCGTCTGTCAGCTCAGCTTGTATTTGAGCTGCGGTCCTGCTCCTTCCTCAGCTTGCCTTCTTGTTCTTTTCTAGAATTTAAAAACCTTAAACTTTACTCCAGCTTTCTTAACATAAAATTTGCTATATTTGTTACTAAATGTAGCTTTTTTGAGTAACTGTTTAAAAAACTGCAGCTATAACCATGAAATACTAATAGCAAGACTCAGAGCCCAATCGCTGTTACCTCAGAGGCTCAACCTCAAAGAAAAGAAGCATTCTCAACCATAAAAACAAAACAAAGTTGGAACTGCGAAAAATTAAAGACAAAAAGAGCTATATAGATTGCCTTTTTAAAAAGTGATAACTTTTAAATAAAATTTCTAAATGAAAAGGTGAATTTGGAGTTTTATATGAAAATGTGGAGTATAAATAATAATCATTCTTGAAAATTATATTTGGTGGATTGAGGGAGTCATAGAGCATCTCAGTATGGAAGAGTAAAGGGAAACGAAGCCCTTTGAACAAATTCACTTTTGATTTTGTCTTTCGGTTGTTCCTATTCATAGGTTGTATTATGGGGAAATGTAGGTAAGGCTCGAAGGAGGACGATAGGGATGCCCACAGCCTCCTGCTCCCCCAGCACACAGGGTCGCTGCCATCTCTTCATGTATCATGGACTTATCCATGAATGTGGCACATGAGATGTAAATGGCGTCCTAGTGCTCACTTCACTCCTTTGATTTTAACGTAGGTTTGAAGGTTTTTTGTTTTTCAGTATGAGGTAAAATTCTAGATCAACAAATGTATATATACATATCCTTAGGCTTTGCTGTAAAGTCACCTGCCTTTATGGCAAAGTCTTCTTTAAAGGGGACAGTCCAGAAAGCAATCCTCTAGTTAAATAAGCCCGATTTAAAGAGTTTTGGGAGGGAGGTTATGTTTCTACAAATTTTATTCATAAAATATTAAACCTAAAATGTTGATTTTATTAAAATGTTAATATTACTAAAGTATTGTTTGATAAATATCCTATAAATAGTAAATATAAATAGTTATTAAATATTAACTCTTAGAGCTTTGAAGTTTCTAATAATACAAGTAAAATAAAAATTTCTCCCTCAAAACCTTTTATATCAGGCCTGTTTAACTAGAGGCTTGCTTTCAGGATAGAATTCTCTAAAGAAGACCTTGTCAGATAGGGATATATCCTTACAGCAAAGCCTAAAATGCTATGTATATACATTTGTTGATCTACAGTTTTACCTCACATTAAAAAACAACTACTATCAGCTTATCATAAGCATGTCATTTTTTTTTTTTTTTTTTTTATTGTCATGGGATTTGAACTGTGTATGACATCTTCGACCTTTTTTATTTTTGGTCTCTTCTATTTTTTTTTTAATCCCTCTCTTGACTTTCTTTGGTCTTTTCTATCAAAAGCCATAGGAGCTCACTTTCATATGTAACTGGGTCACTACACTACAAAAGTTTTACAAAACTAACTTTGTGGCAATTTATTGATAGTTAAAGAACTTCTCATCTTCTCTTGTCCCCTTCCCGCTTGTCTTAATCTCTCTTTTCTGTTCTTTGCTTTAGGATCTGACTGCACTGGCCAAAGAGCTTCGAGCAGTAGAAGATGTACGGCCACCTCACAAAGTAACGGACTACTCCTCATCCAGTGAGGAGTCGGGGACGACAGATGAGGAGGACGACGATGTGGAACAGGAAGGGGCTGACGAGTCCACCTCGGGACCAGAGGACACCAGAGCAGCGTCAGTCCCTGGTCTCTTTTAGAGAGGATGAGAGTGTTCTCTTGGAGCCTCCTTTCAGCTGGAACCCAGTTGTTCCTAGACTATTATGTGACCGCATGAGCATTTACCATGTAGTTCTCGTAGATTCAGCAGTCCACTTTGTGTTTCCCTTTCTCTTCATTGGTGTGTGCATGTGTCAGTGTTTCCCCGCAGCACCTCAGTGTGTACTTAATTTTTTCCTTTTGATTTGAGGATATATGATTCAAGGGAAACTTCAGTTTGGCATAACTACTTTAATTCGCCCTAATTATTCATTCTGATTGTTTGTTCAGAAACAGATGACACTGGAAGGAAATTCTTTGTTAAAGGGGAAAAGCTAAACACTTGCTTTTTTGGAAGAGGCTTTATATACTGGTAGCCTCATGTTTTGATTTTTTGAAGGCAAAAAGCCTAAACAGGATCTCCTTGACTCCTTGAAAAATTAAGGCCTTTCACTTCTGGATTTTGTCTCCATAGGTCGTCTCTGAATTTGAGCAATGGTGAAACGGAATCTGTGAAGACCATGATTGTCCATGACGATGTAGAAAGTGAGCCGGCCATGACTCCATCCAAGGAGGGCACTCTAATCGTCCGCCAGGTACCCGTGTCTTCTCTGTTGTCAGAGGCTGAGCTTCTCCTGTGGTCATTAACCCACTTGCTCATTCACTCACTCATGCTGTTTCTCCATCATCATCTGTTTTCATGTTAACAAGTCCCAGAGGGTCAAGTGTCGAGTGTTGGGGGCTAGGGAGGCAGGTGTGTACTGCATGCCCAGAAGGTAGCAAGTAGTCTCCACCCCACATCGCTGCTCCTCTGCATGTCTGCGGCAGCCCTCATTCAAGCACCGCGCTGAGTCTCAGTCTATGTCTGAGTGGGAGAGAAACCACAGGGAGTCCTTAAACAGGCTTGCAGAGTGAGAAAGAAGGTCTGGAGTCTGGCGGAGCAGCCACAATGGCTCTGCAGAGCACACTTGGCTCTGAGTGTCTGCAGTGCCACAGCGGGAGCGGGTGAGGCAGGCAGGATGAGCCTCATCACAGGCCCAGAGACTCGGAGAGCAGAAGAGTTTGGGAGGTTTCTCTTCTATGTTCCAAAATGTTAGTTTTCTCTCTTGTTGAATAATTAAATGTGTGCCACCCAGATATACTCAGTTTGGATCACTAAGCTTTATAACTGTCTGTTCGTTTCTTAGCTTAGACTTAATTAAAGTGATACACTTCTCATTTGAATAGAACAGGGCACCTATTTAGTATTTTGGACTTTGCCCTAAGTGTGTTTCATGCTATGGCAATGCATTCAGATAGAAAGTAAGAAGAACATGGAAAAGACCAGGATTCAGAGAATCCACACCTACTTTCTGGAGCTTTACAAAGAAAGATTTAAAAAGAACAAAAAAGGATACTGGTTTTGGTAACAGAAGCTAGCACAGCAGATAAATCAGATTAAACACTTACTACTTGAGTCGTGCAGCCACCAGATGAAGTACTTTGAATTCTGTTGGCTCAAGTTAAGCATTTGGTGAGGAAGTGTGAGCAGTCAGGCTAATTTATTTGGTTTTTCCTTGGTAATTTAACAGAGTTTAAAAGTCACACAGCACCTTAAACAAAGCAGTTATCAGTAGGGCCATAGGCAATTTCAGCAGCGCTTGAGCGAGACAAGTGTGCCTGTTTTTTCTACAGAGTACAGTTGACCAAAAGCGTGCCAGCCATCATGAGAGCAATGGCTTTGCCGGTCGCATTCACCTCTTGCCAGATCTCTTACAGCAAAGCCATTCCTCCTCCACTTCCTCCACCTCCTCCTCCCCATCCTCCAGCCAGCCGACACCCACCATGTCCCCACAGACACCCCAGGACAAGCTCACTGCTAATGAGGTATGTCTCACACCACAGCTGGCTGCTTTCCTGGGGTTAGACCAGCACTGCCTAGGAGTTAGTTTGCAAAGGAGACCTTTCCAACACCCTCACCCCCTTCCCTTCCCACCCTGCTTTCTCTGTCACCTACCCTTCTCCCCAACCCCAAGTAACATGTTTCAGATCTGCATATAAACCCCTTAACCCTAGATCAGCTCCCCCAAACTTGCCAGTTCACTGTTTACTGTTCTCTAGATAAGTATAGTTGCATGGCTTTCTTTATCTAGTTTATTTTTTTTAAATCTAAATAAAATGATTGCTGTGTCCTCAGACCCATTATGTATTTGGCATGAAATTCTTATATTCATTTGTGGAATCCACCTTTTTCATTCTTTTTATCCAATAAATAAAATACAGGAAAATTCAGTTCAGCAGGGTTGGCCTTATCTGGACAAACTTGTTATCCTGTACAGGAATCTCTTTCAGAGCTGGATTTTTTTTTTTTTTTTATCTTTCTTTGGGGGTGGCTGTTGGTTGATTTTGTTTTCACCAAACCTATTAAGGATTTTGTTCTTTAAAATTTATAATCACTCAGAGGTTTAGAAGGCAAATTATTTTTGGGAAACCTAGAAAAAATTAGGATGTTAAGCAAGAAGGACAAAGGTTTGAGCTTGTTTTTTAATTTAAAATTTTGTGTGGGAAATCTATGTGCTCCTTTGAAGGCTTGGCTGTGGTGCTCGGTCTGGGTGTTGGCTCAGTCTGGGTGATTCTTTGCTCTTTGAACAGGGTCATGCTCCAGGTATAGTGACATAGCCCACTTGAGCACCTGTATTTAATTAATCAAGTGATTTGATTCCATGGGAGATTTGGTTTAGTGCCTTTGTCTACCAGTTGAGGGAGGTTAGAATCAGAAAAATCCTTTCCTCCTGAGGAGCAGGGGCAAGTCAACTGCTTCCTGGATAGGCTTGGCATTGGCTGGACTGGCCACTGACTCATGGGACAGGGAGGGAAGCTGCCAGGGGACAGATGTTCAGGGAGGGAAGCTAAAGGGAGGGCATGGGCTCTAGGATATAGTGACTCTCAGGTGTCCATGGAGGGGGTCCACTGGTACAGGACAAAAGCACTTGATCAGACATGATCCTTTTTTCTCCCAAGATATATATCCCGCCTGCACTCACATTCCTCCTTATATTTATATTTTAAACTTTGCTCCATTTCGCTCTAATGTGCAGTATTTTACTATAACCCTTAACTCACTAAACCAGCAAATTTATTTTTCTGTTTGTTTTGTTTTTAATTGTCATTACATTTCCACTTAACAATTTGTTTCACTTTCTTTGTGTTTTTTTGTCTTAAGTTACATTATTAACCAAAACCAAAACACTAGTGCTCCTAAAAGATCAAAAGGATATAGCTTATTTTGTCATTTGCACCTTTCACTAATGAGCCCCATTTGGTATGGGTTTAATGGTGATGCACCTAAAACAATAGTAGCCAAAGCTTCTGTAGCTTTCTGGCAAGAGGCTCAATTCAAAAGAAATAGAATTATTAAGAATTGTCAATATTCCAACATAGGTTATTTGGACTCTTCTGGGTAGGAGAATAAATTCAGAAATTGGTGAATTTCTGAATTTCAGACCTCCTTTAGGAGTTTTCTTTCATTGTAAGTATTTACTTAATTTTTTTTAAAGCGAGGCACATGAAGTATAGATTTTCTTGGTCACTTGCAGCACCGCTTTGTAGACGAGCAATGTCTCTGGTAGAGACACAGCTCCTGCAGTGGTTCCAGGTAAAGCAGCCTGCTCTGAGGGGTGCTTTGCCATGTGGAAGCTCCCTGCAGAGCATTTTTTAGGGAATGATGCAAGAGAAATAGGGCAAAGTATTGGGAAATAGTACAAAAAAAAGAAGTAAATTGTAATGTTTATTTTTAATGTTCATTTTTAAAATGCCGTTATATTAATAACATTGAAATTTACATTGCAGACTCAGTCCGCTAGTAGCACACTCCAGAAACACAAATCTTCCTCCTCCTTTACACCTTTTATAGACCCCAGATTACTACAGATTTCTCCATCTAGTGGAACAACAGTGACTTCTGTGGGTAAGTACAGTAGCAACAAGAAAGCAGCTGACAAATGGGATTTTATCTTTCAGTTGCTCTTTAGGGTGACTTAGGTGTAGCTGATGGTTGTTCCCAGGCACAGACCTTGGGTGCAGAAACTTCCCATCCCAGTTGCATTGCCTTATTTGTAGTGAGCTGCAGAGTCCATTTCCTTTTTCCATACACATTGCTTACAAATTTCTTCTCCTTGACAAAGTGTTGGTTATAGCACATGAATATTTATTTGAAGTATATTGGGGGAGGGAGACAGGCATGGCGTGTGTGTGTACAGAAAATAATTTCAAATGTATTCTGTTTCAGTGGGATTTTCCTGTGATGGAATGAGACCGGAAGCCATAAGGCAAGATCCTACCCGGAAAGGCTCAGTGGTCAATGTGAATCCCACCAACACTAGGCCACAGAGTGACACCCCAGAGATTCGTAAATACAAGAAGAGGTTTAACTCTGAGATTCTGTGTGCTGCCTTATGGGGTAGGTGTCTAGCCACTACTCCAACACTTCCATTTTTACTCTGAGTGGTGGCTGGTCTTTTAGAGAAGTACTTCTTTGAATAGCTTGCGGATAGACAGGATGGAAGACTTCTGTGATACCTATCTGCTATCATATGCAGAGTGGCACATTAGCAGACTGGTATGGTACATGTATACACTTGCACTCATTTTAGCTGTCGGATATTGGAATGATTAATCTCCATTTTATTTTTATTGAACAAATTTTTAGTAGTTTGTTTTGTGGATATATTTTGTAGTGGTGAAGTCTGGGTTTTTAGTGTAACCATCAGCCCAAATAGTGCACGTTGTACTCAGTAGTGTACATTGTACTTGGAACCCTGAGGTTGACTGTTTTCACTGTAAAATTCAATCATATCTAGCAGTGGAAATGTGGAAAAAGTATACTTATAAAAACTTACTTCAACATGCAACCTAGTGTTTTTCATTTTTCATGCTGATAAATTCCAAGCACTTTACAGTGACCATGTATATTCTTTTGACTATTGGTATTCAGTACTTTATAAAATTATACAACTCTACAATTATACAACTTGGAAATGCATCATGGAAAAGTAGAAGATAGAGTGTAATTGCCACAATACCTGCAGCTTTTGTGTGTTTGAAAAGAATCTTCAGCTTTATCTTATTACTCCCTTCTTTCTCACTGTAAAATCTTGAAGTTGATGTTTATATGTTTATTTTTATAACACAAATAATAGGATTTTTTCACAAGACTTATATTTTGTGTTGTTATTACCAGATTCTTGACAGGATTTTTAAAAAATCTACTTGATACTGAGATTGACCAGGAAAGTACCAAAATTTTGTATAAAATAGAACCTTTGGAATGGCATCTGTCTGGCATCAGTTCTATCAATAAATATGTGTTTTTTCTGCTAATAATTTCCAAACTGTTTAGATTAACTCGCCTAGGTATATGCAAGGAAAACACTAAGCATAATATTCAAATAAATTCCACCTTAACAGGCATATAGGCAGGACAGAATGACTAACCTCAAAAATAAAATTATATGAAAATGAATCACATATTACATATTTGTTTTTCTTATGCTGATAATCTTTTTAAGTTGTACAGCATTTTTTTTTTCTCTAAGCATTAAATCACTGTCCTCACAAGCATTGCTTGGGTAGATACTTTCCTCCAAATGTTGGGATAATACCAACTCAATCAACTCAATAAGGACCAGGCACAAGCTGAGAGAGGGCTCTAGGAGGGTCGTTCTTTATGCTGTCACAGTTACTCATTTCAAATTCTCTGGAAATAGGGTGTGGGCCTATGTGTATGACCATAATATTCTTCTCCATTACTCCCTCTACACAAATAGTTTATTCCTTGTCTTGGTGAGTTTATGACTGAGGAAATCAGTGCAAACATGTATGTGCCCAGTTCCCTAGGAGTGTAAGGTCATCTGTGCTACACTTAGGAAGGTGATGCGGACACTGAAGATTCTAAAGAACAAGAGCATTTGGGGAAATACATGAATGATCAAGAGGGAGAAGTACTTTGGCCCAAGGGCAGGTAGTCTTAGATGCCAGTGCACGGCTTTCGGAATAATTTCTACATGGAATGTGTAGTTTTTGAAGATATGTCATGACTTGAGTATTTTAGCAAGATTAGAATTGATTGGATATGCATCATGAGAAAGTGGAGAGAAGCTGCTTTAACAATCTTAATTAAAGTCTCTATCCATCACTTACAAGGTTGCCAAAGCCTGAACAATTGTGAGAGCAGAGGAAAGGCAAAGGAGGGACAGAGAAGAGGTTTTATCTGGCTCTAGCGGCCAGTTTAGCTAGTTTTACAGAGCAACTTGGGAGCTATTGATAGAAATGGCAGAAGTCAGGATAGTTTCAGTAGAGATCTGCAGTAGGTGGAAAGCAGGAGGCAAAGTAGCAGTGTGGAGTTAGGATTTACTCGTTCTGAGGCATGCTCACGCACAGGCAGGTGTGTGTCACCAGATAGCAGTGGAAATGTCTCCACTGAAGAAGCAGAGGGCAGGTGTGGAAACAAGGAAGGAGATGTCACATCACATCAGAAGAGGGTGGAGACCGTGACAGTACAAGGTTAGAGAGCTAGGTTGGGTCACATGGGGAGGTCACAATATTTTCATAGTCCTAAGAAATGTAGGGACAAGAGAACTGAGTGCAGTTCTTTCTTGATGGTGGAAAGTGATCTTTAAGAAAAGCTTAAACATGAGTGAAGGAAGCCAAATCATAAGCCGTTAAGGATTTGAGGGCCGTATAGGGCCCATTCCAGAGATTTGCCAGTGAAAAATAAGGAAGCACAAAAAGACCATGGTGTCAGATGAAGGTTTGTTCAAATGTGTGATGTGGCTAATTAGACGTAGAGTTGTAAAGACAGGAAATAGTTAGCATATAACATTCTCGACGGACTCAGGAAGAACAGGAAACTAATGGATTATTAAGGAAATCAACGGGATGAGGCTTTCTTGGTCTTTCCCTTATCCTTTCTTATGTTTCAATATGTCAGCATCACTGCTACATGGTGATGTGTTGCAGTATTGGTTACTTTTGACTATTTAACCTCTGATCGTTGTAAACATTTCTTCTTCTGGGTGAATTAGGAAACTGCACTTTTTTCCAAATATATGATATTATCCTTTCTATACATCCTGGGTAGTTTCCAAGCACAGCATAAAATTGAGGCCTTTCTCTGTCCCTGAAACAGGAGTGAATTTGCTAGTGGGTACAGAGAGTGGCCTGATGCTGCTGGACAGAAGTGGCCAAGGGAAGGTCTATCCTCTGATCAACCGAAGACGATTTCAACAAATGGATGTACTTGAGGGCTTGAATGTCTTGGTGACAATATCTGGTAAGTGTTTGTTTTGTAAAGCAGAATATGTGACACTGTCTTAACAGTATTGTAGCTTTACACATTAAACTTCATTAGCTCATTCTCTGATGTACTGGCTAAATAAGATACAGCTGCATCGAGGCTTGATAATGTGAGCTGAAGATTTATTCAGATGTGACACACACATGCACATTTGATCTGTGGCTCCTCCAAAAGCAGTCTTGAGAAGCGTGTGAATGTGTGCTTTCTCACTGGCCCTCTGCCCTGTTGCTTGTTAGATTTTATTTTCCTTATCCAATATATAGGGTTGTGTCTACTCCTTCCCAACAGACTTTTACATGCCAAAGGAAGTATTCTTAGCCATTATTGTAAAAGTATAGTATTATAGTTTTTATGTTAATTAACACAATTACGACTCTTTAAGAAGAGTATTTTTCTTACTATAAATTTCATAATATAAACTACGACAGGAAAACAACTAGGAGAAATAAAAACTAAAATAATCCAGAGATCATATCTTTTAACTTGTATAAACTTTTAACTTTCACTCTTTTAATGATACACTACACTCGCTACATACTTAAGGGAAAAAATCTACATACAAATGGTTATACACTATTTTAAACATACAGGAGATAATAGTGAGGAATAATGACATCCATGTACTGACTAGCTGGTTTCAACAGTTGTCACAGTACATTGTTGTACCTACAGTGCTTCCCCCATCTACCTGTCTACGGCAACCTCTGTCCCGAAGTTGGAGTGTGTCCCATCCAGGCCTGATCGTCCAAAGCACATAGTAGTCTGCTTTCTCCATGCCTCTGAACATCCTTCCATGGCCTCCATTTTATATGGCTGGACTATGTTTCCTTGTATAGATGTATTAAAATGTATTTATTTATCTTCTATTGTTGCCCTGATTTCTTTCATTTCTTTTTTTTTTGTTTTTCCCCTCTCATGTAAACATTTTTCACAGATACCCTTGTAGCTTACTTAACCTTTAGGTACATTTCATGTTGCATTGATCATAATTTCCTAATAATTTGTGTTATTGCTTGGTCAAATGGTATGCAAAATTACAAGACTATAAATTGGTCTTATATACCACCACTTACAGTCGCTTATGATATTATAATCACGATACCACCAGTGATTTTGATTTAATTATCTGCTTGTTAGTACAAGCTTGTTATGTAATATATTTGCTTGCAGTTATTTTACTTCTCATATATGCTTTTGATTGTTAAATAAAGGAGTTTCTTGAAATGCAAAAATTTCATTATTTATACTTAAATGAGGAAACAGCCACTTAAAACTAGAGTGCTGATGGATGGTAGGTTTTTAAGTTGGAGAAAACAAATCTACATAATCTACATTTAGTGATTCAGAGAAACAAGACAATTAATGGGATCAATAATCAACCAGGCGCGGTGGCATGTCCCTGTAGTCTCAGCAATCTGAGAGGTCAAGGCAGGAGGATTGCTTTTGCTTGGGATGTTGAGGCTTCAGTGAGCTGTGATAGCACCACTGCACTCCAGCCTGGGTAAAAGAGGAACACCCTGTCTCCAATCAATCAATCAATAAAATGATTAGTTGATACCAGTAATCATTTTTTGGTCTACTTTTCTGTATTTTTTTCCTTTCTTATTAGCTTTTAGTGGTTTCCACAATCATAAAGGTAGTAGTGTCAATTGTAGGAAGCTTCAAAAATAGAAAAAACTTAGGAAGAATAAAACAAAATGTCACCCCCATCTCAGAGATAATTCTTGTTAATGTTTTATATTTCCCTCTCCTGTTTTCTGTAAATATATTTCACAAGATGGAAACAAAGTATTATATGTAAAACAATGTCTTTTTCTTCTCTTAACATATATTGAATATTTTCCCATAAACAATTCCTCAAAAGATAAAAAGATTATACTGAAGTATCACATACGTAGAAAATACAGATAAACATACAGCTCAATGAACTGTCACACATAGAATCTATCCAGATAGCCCCATCCTGGTGGAGACACGGAACATTGCCAGCACCCCAAAACTGCCCCGTGAAGCTACCCAGGGACTGCCTACAGAGGAAGCACTGTCCAGACTTTGAACATGTTAGCTTGATTTTGTCTTCATTGAACTGATTTTATATAGTGGTAAAACAGTATGTGTTCTGGTGATGGCTGCTGCTGCTTTTTTTTTTTTTTCTGTAGACTTTTTCTAAACTTCTTTTCAGTATTTTGCAGTTTAGCCATTCTGAAGGGGTGTAGGAATTAATAGGTGTATCTTGTTTTAATTTGCAGTTTCTTTTTTTTTTTTGGAGATGGAGTTTCGCTCTTGTTACCCAGGCTGGAGTGCAATGGCGCGATCTCGGCTCACCGCAACCTCCGCCTCCTGGGTTCAGGCAATTCTCCTGCCTCAGCCTCCTGAATTTGCAGTTTCTTAATGACTTATGGCACGTCTTTTCTTTTGTTTGTCATCTGTATATCTTCTGGTGAAGTATTTGATCTTTAATCCATTTTGTAATTGGATTGTTTTCTTATTGTTGAGTTAGCTCTTCTTGTATTTTGGATCTAAGTCTTTTATCAGTTACGTGTTTTGCAGATATTTTCTGTTAGTTTCTGTTCATGCTGTGGAATGATGTCTTTTGCAGAAGAGAAGTATTTAATTTTAGTGAACCCCAACTTACTAGTTTTTTCTTTCATGAATTGTGCTTCTGGTATTATATCTAAAAAGTCATTGCCAAATCTAAAGTTACTTAGATTTTCTTCTGTTATCTTCTAGAATCTGCTTTATAGCTGTTTCACATTTAGGTTCATGATCCATTTTGAATTAGTTTTTGTGAAAGTTTCAAAGTTTGTGTAGATTTATTTCCTTTTGCATGTGGATATCTAGTTGTTGCAGCAGCATTCATTAAAAAACTAGCCTTTTTCTATTGAACTCCTTGTGCTCCTTTGTCAAAGATTATTACTACATTTGTATAGTTCCATTTCTGGGCTCTATTATTTTCCTTTTATTTGTCTCTTGTGCTAATTACTGTCTTGATTACTGTAAATTTATAGTAATCTTGAAGTCAGGGACTGTCAGCTTTTCAACTTTGTTCTTTTTAAATATTGTGTTGACTGTGTTGGTGAGTCTTTTGCCTCTAGAGTCAGCTTACTGATAGGTACAGAATAACTTGGGATTTTGATTAGAATTGCATTGACTCTGTGGATCAACAACTGATGTCTTGACAATATTGAATCCATTAACATGGAAGTATCTCTGCATTTATTTAGTTTTTCTTTGATTTCATGGGAATTTGTAGTTTTCCTTAAATAAAACTAGCAAAGAGCTAATTTTATTAGATTTATTATACCCATTTTACTTTGTTAATTAGTATAAATGATGTTGTATTCTTAATTTCAGATTCTAATTATTTGTTGCTGGTATATAGGAAATAACAGGAAAGTGACCAACTTTTTTATTTTATTAGGCTTGTATTCTGCAACCTTGCTATAATCCTAGCTATTATTGCTTATTAGTTCCAGCAGGATTTTTGGTTGGTTGGTTGGTTTTGGGTTTTTTGGTTGATTCTTCAGGATTTTCTACCTAGATGTCATGTCGTCTGTGAAGAAAGACAGTTTTATTTCTTCCTTCCCAGTCCTTGTACTTTTTACTTCCCGTTTTTGTCAATTGCGTTAGCTAGGACATCCAATATAATATTTACTAGTAGTTATGAGAAGGGAAATCCTTTTCTTTTTCTCTATCTTAGGAGGAAAGCATCTAATTTCTTGCCATTATGTATGATGTTAGTTGTAAGGTTTTATAGTAGATTTTGCTTATCAAATTGAGGCAGATGCCCCTCGATTCCTATTTTCCTGAAAGTTTTTATCATGAGTAAGTGTTGGGTTTTGTCAAATGTTTTTCTGCATCTATTGATATGATCATGTGGTTTTTCTATAGTTTGTTGATGTGGGTGTGTGGCTGCCTTTGCCCACCATCATTTTTTTTTGTTATTGTTGCTTGTAGCTGTAGTTTCTCTTTGTTCCTTTAGATAACTACACCATAATTCATTTACTCATTTTACTATCCATTCAGACATTATTGTTTCCTGTTTGGTGCTATGAACATTCCTGTTCATGTACTAGGGGGCATACACATACATTTATATTAGGAGAGAGATTACTGGATCATATGTAAGATATGCACATTTCCTACTTTAATAGATAATGCCAAACTTATAAAAACTATTTTAACAGTTTACAACACTGGTTTCTGAAGTTTCTAGTTGCTCCACACCTTGCCTACCTTTGATATTACCAGTCTTAAATTCTAGGCATTATGATAGGTGTATGAAATCATCTCATTGTTTTAGCACACGTTATTACTGTTGAGAACAAGCACCTTTTTGTGTATCTGTGAGATCACTTCTTTTGCGAAGTTCCAGTTATAGTGGCATGTCCAGTTTTTCTACTGGGTTATCTCCTGTTCTATTTGATTTATAGGAGTTCTTTACATATTCTGGTTATGAATCCTTTTCAGCTGTTTCTGTGATATACATCTCCAACTTGTGACTTGCCTTTCACTAGATTTAAGTGCTGGCATTAAGTGATTGATTTAACCCTTCTGTGTTCATCTGTGAAATGGAGATAGTAACTGCTCTAAAGGATTTTGAGAATCAGATGGGATAATACATGTGAAAGAATATTATAAGTTCTGTTGGTTGTATTGTTATGCACGTGTTTGTATTACTTTGTGATTTATTGATACTGTCCATCTACGTAAGTTTGAGTTTATTATTCTTTAAAAACTTCCCCTTTAGCCCAGCCTACACCCATTGATAATTCTATAGGATTTTCAAAAGTCCATCTGAGCAACTTGAATTGAGTTTCTAGTAAAACTTTGAAACAAAGGGGTTTTCGTGGAAGAAATGATATTTGCTCTTTGTAGAAATTTCTTTTGGTTACTGTTATTATTAATGATGAGACCTGCTTCTGAATAGGCATGTAAAATATTTATATTTGTTTTGCTAGGCAAAAAGGATAAGTTACGTGTCTACTATTTGTCCTGGTTGAGAAATAAAATACTTCACAACGATCCAGAAGTTGAAAAGAAGCAGGGATGGACAACCGTAGGGGATTTGGAAGGATGTGTACATTATAAAGTTGGTAAGTTCTAGGAGCATCATGTTTTGTTTTTCCAGAGTTTAGAGTTCAGTTTGAATTTTAAAGTTTAAATTTTCACAGGTTTTTTGAAGTTTGTAATAATAAACTTGTTTCTGAAACATGTGGCTCATTTCTGGTATTCTGTTTCCAAGGCACGTTCTAATCTTGAAGTCTCATTTAGACAGTGCCTTACTCTCTCTATGCACCTATATGCGTAACAGTGTTTGTCCTTGCAACTCACTCCGTCCTCAGTCTCCCTCACGCTGTTCATCTTCTGAGAGTCTTTTCACTCTTCCTCTTTGACAGTCCACATTCTTCCCCTCTGTAAGATGTGGTTCACAGTAACCTCTTGAAGGAAATCTTGCCAGTGGAAGCCAGCTGACTTGAGTCCTCTTTTACATGCCAGGCTTATTTTCCACTTAGAGGGCTGAAGGTCCTTGGCAGGCACTGCTAAGAGTATTTGAGAGTTTGACTCAAGGGCTTACAGCCTGCCATTTTGAATTAAGTGCCTGTGCAGAGCTACTCTGCTTCTCACTAGTAAGTGAGCCCAGCTGTCCAGTCAGTATTTTATGACAGTTGTATTATTTCTTTCTCTTTGGCATGAAGCAGTGATTCTCATGAGGTAAATCTCACAGGAACAAAACGAAAATTTTTTTTTTGTTAGACGGAGTTTTGCTCTTGTTTCTCAGGCTGGAGTGCAATGGTGCGGTTTCAGTTCCTTGCAACCTCCACTGAGTTCAAGTGATTCTCCCATTTCAGCCTCCCAAGTAGTTGGGATTACAGGTGCTTGCCACCATGCCCAGCTAATCAAAACAATTTGCATATACATATGTGAAAAAATCAAAATACTGGGACTAATTTTAGACATACAGGGGAAATAATGGACCTTAGCCAAATTAAAGTTCTATAGGAAAGATGTTAATATTCTCACAGAATTTTAAACAGGAAGTTGTTCTGTATACCTAAAATGGATTAATGTTATGGACCTATTGAATGTTTGTTTCTGTTTTCTATTGTTTGTTTCTTTTTTCTATGTTTATGAAAATATATACATCATCAGTGCCTCTGTTCCCAGGGATGTTGTCATGCTTGGCATTGTCTTGTTTGTGTAGTCTGTCTGCACCCTTCAGCTCATTGGTTTATGATGATTGTGGGAGCTGACTCAGTATCTGGAATGATTCTAGTGAAGTATTTATGTGAAGTATTTTTATTTGTTGAGGCATAACTAAAATCATCTAAAGATAAATGTAATGAAACAGCTCGTAACAGATGAAATGTACATGAATAGATTATCCTACAGGGGGAGCAAGAGGCAGATGTGTTAAGAGTCTGTTGGGCTTTTCCCTAGAACAAAACAGTAATCTTTCAAGCCTGTCACTCTTACAGAATGAATCACCAGTATTTTCAGGAGATAAGTTTGGGTAATATTATTCACTCATTGTCATTATGGTTGCCACCAAGAACAGGGAGCTATTTAAATGTATATTTAAATGAATAAAAATTAAGTAAACCTTAAAATTTAGTTCCTCAGTGGCATTAGTATATTCTGAGTGTTCAGTAATCCTGTGCGTGTAGTGGTTATTCTATCAGCAGTACAGATATAGAGAATTTCCATCACCGCAAAAGTCTACGTGAAACAGTACTGGTTTTGTCAAACTCTTATAAACCTTTGTGTCTTAATGTTCATTTATTGATTTCTTTAAACAGTGGTAATATATAGAGTTTAACAAGGAGGGTTACTGGTTAACAGGTTCTCTCTCATACATAAAGAAGGATTCAAGCAGTGGTGTGATGTTAGCTTATAATGAAATAATGGATCTGCATCAGGCTAGTAAGTCACCTGTAATCAGGGACCCCTGGGAGTACCTGTTTTGGCAGAGTTGCCTGGCAGTAAGGGCCCCAGAGAAGCTATGGGAAGGAGGCAGTTTTACTAATTCTGTAGATCAGGAAATGGTCTTAGTGATACTTGGACTTATGCACAGATACTTCTGTTGGTAGAATTCAAGACTTATGAATATTTTAGTATAAGCTCTTTTTCTTCCTTAGTCTGTGTGAGCCCCATGCAGGACTAGGGAAAGTTATAAGGAGTACTTCAGTCTCTCTCTGTGTTTCAGGAGTCTCTTGGTTGATTAATCATGTTGCTATTTATTTGAAGTAATACTGAGCCCTTGAACACTTCAGGGTAGTATACCTGGCATTGTCCTTGATTATAAAATATCTTGGAATTTATTATAAGAAGGTTAGGATCATTAGCAAAAGTACTCATTGATAGTCAGAAAAGATGGGAATGGCATGGATTATACATTAACAACTTGGTAACTGTGAGGTGTGATTTCTCTCTGAATTTTTTTCCTGCTTGTTTGGATGAATGAATAGAAGGCATATTTATAAAATTTGCAGAAGACAATTAAAATGATTTAGAGGGCTATGTTGATACTGACCTGTGCTGCTCTTGCTTTTTTATTTTCTGTTTTTCAGTAAAATATGAAAGAATCAAATTTCTGGTGATTGCTTTGAAGAGTTCTGTGGAAGTCTATGCTTGGGCACCGAAGCCATATCACAAATTTATGGCCTTTAAGGTAACAACATCAAGTACATTTAAAAGTAGCATTGGCCATGCAAGCCTCAACCAAGAGTCAGGGAATACATTTAAAAAGTCTAAACTGTTAAAATTGCTACTATAAAAGCTATGTGCTAATGTAGCATATAACTTTATCACAAGAAACCATTTCTAATGTAATGTCATAAGCTTAGTTAATCTGCTTCCTAAGCCCACAGAATAAGAAGGAGAGAAAGATAAATATTGGGTAGACACTTTAATCAATGTGGCAATGTGGTAATAGAGGAAAAGAGAACACCACTTCCACCCTTCAGTTAAAAAGCTGACCTCACCTAAGTCATGGATGTGTATAAAGATTTAGTTGTGTTTTTGATAACAAAACTGTGTCTAACAGCAGGCATTTTTAAGGTATATCTGTTCATAAAATATTAAAAATTAAATTACAGAAATTCTAATGATGAATGTATTATTATATATTAAGTGAAAAAACAAGTTAAAATGTTTAATATGATTTCATTTTTGCTTAAATATAAAAACTCAGATATAGCATCTGAACTAATATATATATATATATATAAATTAAGATGTTTTTGCCATTTTGCACGTATAAAGTTTTAGGAAAGTAAATGAGTAACTTAGTCTTAAAACTAGGATTATTTTCATTTGTGAGTTCACACAAATACTAATGGAATTGTGATTACAAATACACCTCACATTTGCCCGGTGATTGGCTTTTTAGAATAGTTTTGATATATTTTATTGAAGGGGTAAGTTTCATTTTTTTGGAGGATTCGTATTTTTGGATTGCTTACTGCTTGACTTCCCAGTGAGGCAGGATAAATGGAGTTATCATATTTGTTTAAAAAATAAATCCAAGTGTTATTGAATAAAGATAATTGGTTATATGGTTATATTATCTTCTGAGATCTGGCCTTGATACTCTTTATATACCAAGTACTGTACTAGTTGGTTTTATAAATATAACCTTATTTAAAGCTGCTCTGTTTCATTGTCCTACTCTTGTGAACTGTGGGTAGTGATGTCAGTGAAAAATGGAGACCACCAGTACAGTCCAGTTTGTTGTAGCACACACAGCCTTTTCGTCATTTTGATTTAGTCAGAAAGTTAGAGACCTTTATAGTTCAAATAGCGACTAATATAATAATAATGAAAAAATTTTCAGTGTGTGATTCCTGCAACTCTTCCTCTCGCTCTGCTGTGCATTTGAATAGTTGAGTAGTATGCTTAGGAAAGTCCTCACTATTTTACTTTGCATGCTTTTCTGATCAAGACAACCAACACAGTAAGTGACAAAGCAGAAATCTTGGTCTGGATTGGCAGATTTGGAAGACATTCCAGATGCTAATTATCAGGCAAAACCATAATAAAGACTAATTTTGTAGAGTATTTTTGCCTTGTGGTTGTTGCCAGTATGGCTCAGTAATTGAATAACTGAGTATATTGGGTCTTCTCTAGTTTAATCTGTTAGAAATAAGTTCTCCTTCATCTTCCCGCTTCTCTCTTGTGACTTCTTTGCAGTCATTTGGAGAATTGGTACATAAGCCATTACTGGTGGATCTCACTGTTGAGGAAGGCCAGAGGTTGAAAGTGATCTATGGATCCTGTGCTGGATTCCATGCTGTTGATGTGGATTCAGGATCAGTCTATGACATTTATCTACCAACACACGTAAGAAAGAACCCACACTCTATGGTTGGTTGACTGGCTTCATTTTGTTTTGACTTTTTTCTTTGCTCTGCTTAGTGAACTAACACAAGCAGGGATTCTTCATATCCCCTTGATGTGGGGGTGAGTATTTAAATGACATGCAATTTTCAATAGCTCCATGCTCTTAGACAAGTGGAAATCCACCTTCCTGGCTTTGTGGAGCCCTCGTGAAAACCTCTTAGGCCTTGCTTTGACTAACATGGGATGGATTTGGGGCAGTTGCTGGTAGGCCAGAACATCCTGGGGTTGGGAGTGGGCTCAGTTGGAGCTCAGCATCCATATTTGTTTCATGAGCCTGAGAAAATGTGAGTCAGTAGAGTATATTACTTGGAAAAGGCAGACTTGGGGATATATATTGCACAAGTATTCTAAAATGTATTCATTACCCAGGATATGGTACCAGTGCTTCACCAAGAGTCTTACTTAATGCTTAACCACAGACATTCTTCCCTGTACTTTTTTCCTCTTCTCTAGATCCAGTGTAGCATCAAACCCCATGCAATCATCATCCTCCCCAACACAGATGGGATGGAGCTTCTGGTGTGTTATGAAGATGAGGGGGTTTATGTAAACACATATGGAAGGATCACCAAGGATGTAGTTCTACAGTGGGGAGAGATGCCCACGTCAGTAGGTATGGCAGCAGTTGTGAAAGTGGAGCCTTATCTGAGACTGCATATATTTATCATGTTGATTTTGTATGTCCTTCAGACCTTTTGGCCACCATTGAACAGAGTGGTTGGCAGTAGATGGTGGAAAGTTAGATTGTAGGCCATGGAAATAGTCATAGGTCTATTTTAGAACAAAATCCAAGTAATTATTTTGTATTTTAAAAACCCTGTTATCATAATCTCTCATTTAATCCTTAAAATATCCAGAGAAAAATTGGACATGTCTTTGTTGACCACTTTGTAAAGGGAAACAGAGAATTGGTAAAGAATTTGTAAAGGGAGACAGAGAGAAAGGGAAGATACTTGCTCTTGAGAATGGTAGAGCCATAACTACAAACAGCCTTGTGTGTAGTTTTCTAGTTTTCATTCAGTAATAAAGACTGATATTTGACATTTTCATTTATTTTTATTCCAAAACTATTTTGAATTTTTTGTAATTAAGTCACTTTCTCTTCCCTGCCTTCTCTCTTGGCTGTAATGATAAAAATATGTGCACTAAACTCTAAACTTGGTGGATCATTTCTCAAAATGAGCATGAAAGACCTAAGGAAAATGAAATAGATCAACCATTGATGCAGTTAACTACTTCACAGGATAGACAAGGTGGTTACAAAGGCAAAGTTCCTTGAAAACAAATTAAATGCTAGGCATTTACATTTAAAATTTTAAAAAGATATAAAAGTATAAAAATATATTTTTATCACATAAGCAACATCTTTTCAGGACTGTTTCCTTATCTTTAATGGTTTGCAATTTTTCCCTCCCCCAAAGCATATATTCGATCCAACCAGACAATGGGCTGGGGAGAGAAGGCCATAGAGATCCGATCTGTGGAAACTGGTCACTTGGATGGTGTGTTCATGCACAAAAGGGCTCAGAGACTAAAATTCTTGTGTGAACGCAATGACAAGGTAATGGGTTTCCTTATGGATTCTTTTTAGTTACTCTATCTTTTAGTAATGGCTTATTTTCCATGGAGTTTGATGATTAATTTCTCTGGAGTTTTGATAGGTTCTGAAATAATAAGGAACATTTTAAATACTGCTTTTTAGTCATGTTCGTGAGGATTGGGGTATAGTTTGTTTTTTGCTATGAGGGGATAGAGATATTTTTCTCTATAGAAGTTAACATATTTGGGTTAGTGTGTGTGTGTGTGTGTGTGTGTGTGTGTTTGTGTAAAACCCTATTAGGTGACCTGTTTAGGATATAATTAGTTTAGAGATAGGGAAGATAAAAGCTGCCAGTTTTATTGACTGGAATCCTTTTGTGAGTGGAAGGAATCACCCTTGTGATTTGGGTAGATAGAAAGGTTTCTCTCACCTAATGTGTGTCAAGAAGATGTCCCTTGTTAGTCTGTGAGCAGTGAAATTGCTTTCTAGGTTTGCATGTCAGAAATGTTCACAGTAAAAATCATCTTATGCGGACATACCGTACCTCCTGCAGGTGAGATCCCATGGCATTACACCCCCTTTGCTTTTCAGAACTGGCCATACCCTTCCAGGGACAACTCCCAGGGTGACTTCCTCCCAAGAAGTCCCTTTCAAACCAGTTTTGGAGTGGAGCAGATAGATGGCCAGGGGCATTGACCCATCCCTGTTTGCCAAGGGAGAAGGCATTGGGGGTCGAACTGAGGTTTACCAAGCCTTCCCCTTACAAAGGCATGTCTGACTACCTGAGGCAAGACACCACAGCCTTAGAAACTTGGCTCTGAAGAATGTTTCTGCCTTTTGCCTCACATTGACATACTAGCAGTCAGCCAGTAGGTTCAGTTCTCAGATTTAAAAATTCACTAATTTAATGTGAGAAAGAAGAAGCTATACATCTGTCCTTGTCAGCTGGTCCTGCCTGCCCAACACATCCTAAACACAAAGTTGCTTCACCCCTACCCACTATCTTCTGCACCCCTACCCACTGTCTTCTGCACCCCTACCACTCAGTTTCAAGTGGAGTTTTGCTTACAGAATATCTCCCAAATCTGTGACCTTGAAAATCTCTGCATCCTCAGATGGGATTTTGTCAGCTTGTTGGCTTATACTTTACTAAGTATGTTTACTGTAGCTGTAACTATAACGTTCTTTGTTTCAGGCATTTTAATATTTTTATCATGCATTTCATGTCCTTTAACATTTATTAATAAAAGGCACAAAAATTTTATTTATGGATTATATGAAGTAATACATTTTTTGTTGATTTTTAAAAAGAAATTAGGTTGTTAAAGGAGTCTTTCCTTTTGCTCATTGTGTTTTTTAGGGACATTTATTTTTTAGAAGGTATTAACAGTGGAAGTGGAAAGAAATAACTCTCTTCAGAAACATCCATTTTTTTTTACTTTTGTGTTCTCACAATATGCCAACGTGTAAAGGAGTTAGTAGTAACAAGCCTGAGTTGTAATAAAAATTGGCTGCAGATGGTCACTCCTGCAATTATAAATTGATGCTGTCCTAGTTTTTTGGGGGGGGGGAGGGGTTGGGGGAGACAGAGTCTCACTCTGTCACCTAGGCTGGAGTACAGTGGGGCAAACTTGGTTCACTGCAGCCTCCACCTCCTGGGTTCAAGTGATTCTCATGCCTCAGCCTTCTGAGTAGCTGGGATTACAAGTGTGCACCACCACACACAGTGTTTTTATGTTGGCCAGGCTGGTCTGGTACTCCTGGCCTCACAAAGAGCTGGAATTACAGGCGTGAGCCACTGCGCCTGGCCTTAGAGTTTCTTTTGAAAAGGCTCTTTGGGTTCTAAGCTTCATGTACTTGCCAGTATTGAGGATGATGGTGGCTTAGATTCCCTGGCTGGAAGTGCTACATGACCATGCTAATTATGGCCTCTCTTTTCTTGCTTTTGCAGGTGTTCTTTGCCTCTGTTCGGTCTGGTGGCAGCAGTCAGGTTTATTTCATGACCTTAGGCAGGACTTCTCTTCTGAGCTGGTAGAAGTAGTGTGATCCAGGGATTACTGGCCTCCAGAGTCTTCAAGATCCTGAGAACTTGGAATTCCTTGCAACTGGAGCTCGGAGCTGCACCGAGGGCAACCAGGACAGCTGTGTGTGCAGACCCCATGTGTTGGGTTCTCTCCCCTCCTTCCTATTCCTCTTTTACCAATTTATCCCCATTCTTTTTTTTCCTTACTCCAAAATAAATCAAGGCTGCAATGCAGCTGGTGCTGTTCAGATTCTACCATCAGGTGCTATAAGTGTTTGGGATTGAGCATCATACTGGAAAGCAAACACCTTTCCTCCAGCTCCAGAATTCCTTGTCTCTGAATGACTCTGTCTTGTGGGTGTCTGACGGTCAACGATGATCATGCCATTTGTTTTATTGGCAGTGGGCACAAGGAGGTGAGAAGTGTGGGTAAAAGGAGCAGAGTGCTGAAGCAGAGAGCAGATTTAATATAGTAACATTAACAGTGTATTTAATTGACATTTCTTTTTTTGTAATGTGACAATATGTGGACAAAGAAGATGGAGGTTTAAGAAGTTAATATTTATAAAATGTGAAAGACACAGTTACTAGGATAACTTTTTTGGGGGTGGGGCTTGGGAGATGGGGTGGGGTGGGTTAAGGGGTCCCATTTTGTTTCTTTGGATTTGGGGTGGGCGGGTCCTGGCCAAGAACCCAGACATTTTTCTGTGTACCAGGTTGCCTAAATCATGTGCAGATGGTTCTTAAAAAAAAAAAAAAAAAAGAAAAAAGAAAACGTGTGCATTTTGTATAATGGCCAGAACTTTGTTGTGTGACAGTATTAGCACTGCCTCAGTTAAAGGTTTAATTTTTGTTTAAACCTAGAAGTGCAACAACAGTTTTACCACAGTCTGCACTTGCAGAAGAAAAAAAAAATTCAAACCACATGTTTATTTTTTTGCCTACCTCATTGTTTTTAATGCATTGAGAGGTGATTTAGTTTATGTTTTGGGAGGAAACCATTAATGTTTAATTTAATTGTAATACCAAAACTATCAGGTTAAAGTTTGACTTTTATTGTCACAAGTCAGCAGGCACAAGAACTGTCCATGGAAGATGGGAAATAGCCTTAAGGCTGATGCAATTTACTTCCAAGTTTAGAAAGCTGAATGCCTTGTTTTCAACAGATTCACCATTAGAGGTTGATGGAGCAGCTGTAGCCCATGACGCAAGAGATTTCGGGGTTTGGTAGCAGACAGGTGGTCACATTAGAATAGTCACACAAACTGTTCAGTGTTGCAGGAACCTTTTCTTGGGGGCGGGGGAGTTTCCCTTTTCTAAAAATGCAATGCACTAAAACTATTTTAAGAATGTAGTTAATTCTGCTTATTCATAAAGTTGGCATCTTCTGTGTTTTAGGTGTAATATCAAAGTCCTGGCTTTTCTCGTTTTCTCACTTGCTCTCTTGTTCTCTGTTTTTTAAACCAGTTTTACGTTATGAATATATTCATGACATTTGTAATAAATGTCTTGAGAAAGAATTTGTTTCATGGCTTCATGGTCATCACTCAGCTCCTCTAAGGACTTTACTGTCTCGGGAAAGGATCAGGGCTCCGTGTCACAGTCCTCCTGTCTTACTTTCCTCTTGTCGAGTTCTGAGTGAAAATACTGCATTACGACTGCTTTAACCTCAGTTACCAAAAGAAACTTGCTGTTTTCTAGGCTTAATCTTCTTCCTTTGTGTTTAATTTTCTTGTTTATTGTGAAAATGAGGGATTCTTCTCTGCCCCCACCCACTTAAACACAGCAGCCATTTGTACCTGTTTGCTTCCCATCCAACTTGGCACCCACTCTGGCCTCTGTCACTCCCCTCCCCTTGGTTCAGTGCTTTCGAAAAGGCTCTTTGAGCTACAAACATCTGGTAAGACAAGTACATCCACTCATGAATGCAGACACAGCAGCTGGTGGTTTTGTGTATTCTCTTAAAGACAAGATAAACTGAGAAGCCTTACTTTTCAGGGAGGGAAAAGAAGATGGAAATGGATGTTTCTATCCATTTCCATGGATTTGTGTGAATTTGGAGCAGTGCTGAAAGGCCAAAGGCTCCTTCTGGTTTGTAGTTGATGTATAGAAGGTTAAAAAGTTTATCCTACATTTAAAGCGATTTGAGGTAGGCTGGATTCCATTGCCACAGGACTTGAGTTGGAATTAAATTCCTGCTGGTGATTTATATCCATGTTTAGGCTTTTCATAAGATGAAACATGCCACAGTGTACATATCAAGAGAAGAAAGAAAGGCATAAGTGACTGTGGCTCCTTCCCTGACTTTAGAGAATGGTAAAAGGTGGGCATATGTCTCTGAAGAAATACCCAATGTCTGATGCTAAGGGGGAGAAGGCAGAGAACAAAGGATGTGGTAACATGGTCTTACATTATCTAAAGACTTGCAGACCACATATGTAAGTCAAATGTTGTTATATAAAAAACGCAAGTGGTGTTTCATTGGAATTACCGATTACTTAGAACCTGAGGAAAACTGGCTTTCCCATAGGTGGTAATGGGGTCTGAGCTCATGCCGAGTCATGCTTGCCCTGCTTGCACAGGTCCAGGCACCCGGTGGGCACTCTCTTGGATTGAATCCATTGTTGGGCTTGACTTACTGAAATTGGACAGCCCTTTGTCCCTCTAGGGTGCGGGTTCCTGGTCTGTTTTTTTTTCCCTTCTTGGCCTCACCCCCTTGTAAACCAGATTGAGTTGCCTACAGCTTGATGCAGGGACCCAGTGAAGTTTCTCCATAAAAGTTTGGGAGTCATTAAAGTGTCTAGATTCTTTTAGAAAAGGAATGATTCCCCCCCAACCCTGCCCCTTTACAGGGTAGTGACTTCTCCGCAGAAGTGCCAATATGGCAAAATTACAAAAGTAAGCAGTATTGTAATGATATCATTACATATGGAACATTGAATTATTATAGGACCGCTCTTCCAAACAAAACAAAAATGTCTCTAGGTTTAGTCAAAGCTTTCATAAGTAATAACCTTTCTGTACTAAAATCAGAGTAACCCTTTCTGTATTGAATGCAGTGTTTTTACTTTTTTCTCATGCACGTTATATTGGAGAAGATGTTTACAAAATGGTTTTGTTACACTAATGTGCACCACATATTTATGGTTTATTTTAAGTGTTTTTTTATGGGTTATTTAGGTTTTCTTCTTAGTTGTAGCACATTCACCCTAATTTTGCCAATTATTAATTTGCTAAATAGTAATACAAATGACAAGCTGCATTAAGTTTACTAATTATAAAAGCTGCAAAACAGACTGCTGGCAAGTACACAGCCCCCCACCCCCCGCCCGTTTTCTTTTCTTTTCTTTTTTTTTTTTTTTTGCAGTGCTAACTTGTCTACTGTGTATTATGAAATTACTGTTGTCCCCACCCTTTTTTCCTTAAATAAAGTAAAAAATGACACCTATTTTATGTGGCATGACTTTCAAATATGTTATGACCCTTCAGAATGTTTCCTTCGTGAGGATCCATATTTTATAACACCTGCCTCCCCTGAGCGCTCTGTATCAGAGAGGGCTCCTGTATTCTGCTATCTCAGATGGCAGGGGCTTGTCCAAGGGTAGATTATGCAAGTAGCAAATGTTTGTCTAAAGATCTCAGAGATTAAATGGGTGATGAACCTCCATCACTATGTTCCTGAAGCCAATATGGAATAAAGCTGGTCCTTATCTCTAATAAGGAAATAACGTTGCATTTCTGAAATTTTGAATTTGGATCAAAGAGTAAACAGCATGATGTCTGTAATAGGACAATTAAAGCAGCTCTTTTTCAATTTGATGCATAAATACTAACTTGGGTCTAATAATTGGAGCCCCTTCAATGTAAGGTCATTTTGTCGAAGCTCTGGGGTTCCCCATCAACTCCCCATAGGCCTGGTAGGCATGATCCCCAATGGGGAGATCTGGGGCCATGCTCTCAGTATCAGCACCTTGCCTTAGCCTCCAGGGCTGCCTGTGCTACATCATCATCAGTTAGAAATGTTAATAAACCACTTTGTGCTTCATTCTAGAAACATGGTATTTATCTAATGTGAAAATTAAATTATAACTACTTAGGCTGTCAGATGAGTAAGATTTTTCTTTTCCTACTTGATGCCTTGCAATTGGTGGATGATGAGGAATAAAAACCTGGGTGGAGTTTTCTTGGGACCATCACGCATTCCTGCAATTCCACTTTTATCCTCCACTGGTTGAGATTTCACTTAAAAGGAAGCAATGGGGATCCGATCAGACCCTTCAGCCAACACCAGCTCTGTAGCTTGACATCACATTAAAAAATAAAGTAAAATTGCTGCATTCTCTGGCATCTTAGCACCTTAAAAAAAGTGCCCAGCCGGGCGTGGTGGCTCAAGCCTGTAATTTCAGCACTCTGGGAGGCCAGGCGGGTGGATCACGAGGTCAACAGATGGAGACCATCCTGGTCAACATGGTGAAACCCCGTCTCTACTAAAACTACAAAAAATTAGCTGGGCACGGTGGCGTGTGCCTGTAATCCCAGCTGCTCCGGAGGCTGAGGCAGGAGAATTGCCTGAACCCAGGAGGCGGAGATTGTGGTGAGCCGAGATCGCCCCATTGCACTCCAGCCCGGGTAACAAGAGTGAAACTCCATTTTACTTTATAGAATACATAAGCTACTTCTGCTTAAAGCATGGGCATTTTTTTTTTTTTGAGACGGCTACGGAATCAAAACTTGGAGGAAGTAGTTGCTATATTTTCTTATGGGAGAAGATAGACACTCAAATACTGCATTCCTGTACCTTGTCTACCTCTTTCTTAGGTTTATCAGACTGTATCCATGTGTCAAATTCTTCCTGAAACTGTCTTGTCTTTGCCTCTGCCCTGCCCAGCTTCTTTGGGGATATGCTTTTCTATTTCTTGATGCCCTGACATGCTGTTATCTTGCTCACTATTTGGATACAGAGCCTGCATTTTAACTAAGATTGTTTCTCAGATTTAACAACTTACTATAATTCAAACTCTGCTCTACTCATCCTGAACTACCAAACATTATGCTGGCACAGAGCAGGCACTCAAATTCCCTGCCTGTTTGCTTAAGTAGCATGAAATAAAAACTCCATTAATCCAAGGAAAGACAGTCCCCCTTTGCCCCGCAGTGCAGTGTGGGACGGATGGGGAAGTGTCCGGGTCTAGCCAGGCCTCAGGAAGGCTGCAGTGTCCTTGGGTGCTGGAATAACACCACAAGGACCCTTGATT